CACAACGCCGAGCTATTTTTTCTTGCAGTTGCCACTGCTGTTTTAGCTGACCCGGCCGGGTTCGAACCCGCCACCCTCGGTATATGGGGCCGGTGTCCTTCCCACTGAGCCACAGGCGCTGCCCAGGAAAGATGACATTTCTAAACTCAAACTCATCTCTTGCAGGGATGAGAACTATCAGTCTGGTGCCAAGTCCTCAGCTGTGTCATATTCAAGGAAAGGTACTCCATGACTCCTCTTAGCTGAAGACAAAGGACAAGCCTGTGGCAATTTATATAAAACAGAAATGAATTACAAGCTAGTAAATTGCCTGGAAGGAAAAGTAGGAAACTTCTCCAGTAGGGTGGAGATAAAGATGATTTCAAATACTGTTTTTCCATACTGCACATTAGACATTTAGAGGTAGAGGGGACATTTCATTCCTTCCGACTCCCAGCTCCACAGGGGAATCTGTCTGCAAAAATTTTGGCAGAAACTAGCCTGTGCTCAAGCCCTTCTGGGGACAGAAATTTCAGTACCTCATATGGGTAAGAATTTGTAGCTGTCATTTAATTATAGGAAGCCTTCTTTACTCAGAACTGAGCCCTGCCTTCCAGTGATACCCAAATGTGTGTCCTAATTCCATTCTCTGAAGCAACAGACATTCACCGGAATACCCTGCCCAGGCTCTCAGGGCTAACATCCTGGGTTCTCTCTCTGCACTTCCTCTTATGTCCTGGAGTATAGACCCTCTTCACGTCGTTTTCTGGTTGGCTATTAGCCCTTGTTAAAATGTGATGCTCAGAATGAACACAGCACTCCTGGTATTTATCCTAGTTTCGTGGATGTGGGTGGCTCACAAGAAACATTAATTATACTTAATTATACTTCAGTTTAAACAAATATCTTAATTATATTTCTGTTTATACTTTTATACACCCCCCGACCCCCAGTTAAATGTTTAAAGTCTGGATTAAAAGTGTTTCTATGTAGATGTGGTGTTTAAATCTGTAATTTCACAAGTCTTTCACTTTCAAAGCTGGTGACAAGCTGGCGGGAAATATGCTCCTTAGGAAAAGCAAACATTCTCTGTTTGCTGATGGTCACTAAGCATTTGTAACCACAGCAAGCTTGGAAAGTAGTTAGCTAAAGAGTACAGGAGGAACATTCTAAACTTCTAATCCTTCCTCCCTGCATGCTAAGACCAGTTAGCAGAAATCAAGTGTTAGCTGCTTTGTCAAAAAGGAATTTGTCTATCCATGTAATTTTTGTCGGTGGGACTGCCTGGGGGCCTGCCAGAGATCTTATTACTTATTAACTCGTTATTTCCTGTGAGTAGGAAAAGGTGCTTGCAATTTCAGAAGTTTGTGTGAATCACATGTCCTCCGCATTTCCTGCCAGGTACAGGTTTTTTTATTTTGTTTTTTTTGTTTTTTTTTAAATAATGACAGGTTTCAGCAAAGCCAAGATTTTAAGCTCATGCCCTTCAGTATTGAAACTCAATTTGTCAGCAACTCTTTGCTGATCAGAATTTTAGACTTAGTCGAAACTTTGGAAACTTAAGAAGCTTTGCAAACAGAATATGACCCCTAATACACTAGTTTCCAACTTCCCAGGGAAAAATGTATGACAGGCCTCATGATTCCAAATGCCTTGACCAATATCACAAAGCTTATATTGAATATGGAACCCAGTCAATAACGCTAAAATTCAGGGGCTTTGGCATTGCATTATTGTTTTGCTTAATTAAATATACCTGCTACATGTATTAGGGCATATATAATATACATGCTCAGGTTAAAGAATGACCAGAGGAATACCCTCGTTTCCACCACTGTTTTAGGAGACCATTGCCAATTCCAATGAGCTCCTTCCTGCTCTGTCCTGGTTCCTAAGGAGGAAAAATAACTCTGAACTTCATCATTACCCTCTTTCTTTATAGTTTTACCCTATACACATATATCGGGTGCTAAAAACACTTTAAGAGATGTTACCTAAGTATCTTCAAAGTTGAATTGGAAATACTGTTACTGAGCAACTGTAACTAGACGCGCTACACACAGCCGCTTTATCCACAGGTCCTACACTTGTGGGAGTGATCGATCTTACTTTCAACCAGATCGCTTAAAAGGGGTCTACATTTTTTTGTCACTCTCAGGTATAGTGTTTAATTTCGCATGTTTGGGGAACTCAGACAAGTGGAATTGTCCTCTGTAATACATATATTCTTGTAGGAATCCCTCTTTTTGCTCCGTGTTATGTTTGTGAGATTCATTCATGCTGCCAAGCTTTTTCCTGCTTATAAGCATTTGCACTCTATCTAGATTTTTAAAAAATGAACAAGGAGCCTATGAATTTTCTAACATAAGGTTTCTGGTACTTTTAAAAAAGTTGTTGACATTTATTGAGCACTTATTTTGTGTCAGGTACTATTTTAACACATTCACAGCCATGCATAGTTGTAATTAACTCATGCTAATTTTGAGCTCAGGGCCTTGTGAAGCGTATAGACATGGTGGATAGATGGGAAGGTCCATAGCATCCCTGCTCACTGTGAATTCCTGGTCTCTCCACTAGACACCAGCAGGACCCAACCTCTGGGTAGCAACAAACAGGTCTCCAGACATAGCCAAATGTCCCCTGGAGGACAAAGTTTCCCTTGGTTGAAAATCATTTTTCTATTCTAATATGTTTGCAGTGATTACATTCTGGGTAATTTTTCTTTTCCCACCTCATTTATTTCTAGTTAGTCTGCAATGAGTATCTGTGTATCTATCTTAATATACGTCCTCTATAATAAAAAAGTGACTATTAAAATACAATCATAGCACTATTTATGTAAAAAAAATATAGGCACATATTTTGAGCAAAGTCTTTTGAAAAATACTGTAGATAGAAGATTTATGGAAGACATGATGCGGGGAATTAAAAAGGAAATAGAGAAAAGTAGTTCTTCTAAGATAATTTAGCAAAAATTCATTTGCATGATGTGAGGGTGGTAATGTGTGGGCCAGAGAGAGTTTGATTTATGACCCAGGTGCACCCATCCGTGATGATCAAGTCCTTTGTTTAATGTTCTTATTAGATTTACCACGCTGGGCAGACTTGTGCTCCGAGCAGCACAAAAAGCTTTTCTCCATAGTGATTCCCTGCCAGTTGAGCTCAGCCTGAGCACCCCAGATCGTTCCCATTTCCCAAGCTGCAGGGACAAGTTCACTTTCTGCACTTCTTTCCAGGGACAAAATGTAATACCAGACGTCATCCATTTCATAGTGGTGGTGTTTTTATTCACCAGTTGTTGAGGGTGTGGAAATAGAGCCACTAACAGATGTTTTCATGAGGAAAACTTTCTAATATGGAAGTGGTATGTGAAATCCTGGGAATAATCAGTGATAGGATAAATAGTATAGCTGTCCTCTGGAACTCGTGGGGTTCCAGAACTCCCAGGATACTCAAATCCATGGATGTTCAAGTCCCTTTTATAAAATGGCATAGTGGCATAGTAATTGCAGATAGCCTACATACATTCTCCTGGTTTCCTTCCCTCCCTCCTTCCCTTTCTCCCTTCTTTCCTTTCTTTGTTCTCACTCTGTCCCCAGTCTGGACTGAAGTGCTGTCATCATAGCTCACTACAACCTCAAACTCCTGGGCACAGTGATCCTCCTCCTTCAGCCGTCCACGTAGTGGGGACTAGAGACACACAAAACTACACCAGATAATTTTTTTTTTTAAGAGATAGGATCTTGTTATGTTGCCCCAGCTGGTCTCAAACTCCCTGTTCCAAGCTATCCTCCCACTTCACCCACCCAAACTGCTGAGGTTACAGGTATAAGCCACCCTAGCTGGCCTCCCATATGCTTTAAATCATCTCTCAATCGCTTGTAATATCTAATACATTGCCTGTACATCGCCTCATTGGAGTAGATTCAGCACAGTACTCAGTGGAAGGCAAATTCAAGTTTCATTTTTTGGAACTTTGTGGATTTTTTTTCTTTGATTAATTTTGATCTGTGGCTAGTGGAATCCATGGATGCAGAACCCCTGGATACAGAGGGCTGACGGCACTTGTCAGAGACTCTGAAACTTCAACTTCTCTGCTGCATTTGAATCTCAGGCCTAGGGATGAAATCTGAAGAGGACCAGGGGACAGTTTCTTAGAGCAGGTGGAGTCTGGCCACAGACACACAGCATCGGAAAAGCTGTCCCCTCCCCCACAAGAAATACAAATTGTATGTTTATGTTTGAATATATACGCACGTGTGTGTATGTGTGTGTGACAAAGTACTGAAGCAGCAAAATTAGAGAAAAGCTCGACATTCCTGATGTGCTTGGAATGACAGATGTAAAAGCAACCCAGAATTAGACTCCCTTTTACAAAGCCAGAAAATGCGGTTCAACCATTGAAACATTTCAATCATGAAGGCACAAAGTAGGAAGCAAATTACTATTGTACTTTCAGGAAAGAAAAATAAAGTTAGGCAAGGTCTGCCTTTGAATCAAATAGTCATATGTAAAAAAAGCCCACAATAGTCACATGTCTAGCTGGCTTCCCGTTCTGGGGCTAAGCAGGTTGTCTGGCAGTTAATGATGGTACCAAACAGGGAGTATACAGTAGGCACCCAGCACTGTTCTAAGTGTTTTCCACAGTCTAGTTCATTGTTTTTCAACCTTTCTTTCTTTCTTTTTTTTTTTTTTTTAACTCACAGCACACTTGAACCTATAGTTATACTTCTGTGGCACACTTAAATTACATTGATCAGAAAAAAGAGTAAGAAAAGGAATATGCTTACTGTGCTTTGAACTTTTTTCAAAAATAATTTAATTAATGATCTTCAAAAATTTTCAAGGCACACCTAAGATCCTCTCACAGTACACCAGTGTGCCCTGGCACACCGGTTGAAAAGCACTGGTTTAACTCTTTTAACCCTCAAAACAACCCCAAGGAAGTTGATATTTCTATTTGCTTGGTGAGGACATGAAAATTTTGTGGCTAAAATTAACAGGCCAAAGTTTCATCCATCATTTTATTTTCCTTTTGCTCTTAATAACAACTCATTTGTTCCTACTCCTGAACTTCTTTTACAGATAGTTTTATAAATTTGGTATTCAAAATGGGCAGAATCATTTCGATAAAGATTGAGAAGAACAGAACACTCTGATTAATGTAATTATTTTCCAAATTAAACTGGCAGATCCAAAACAGTTCAGATTTTGTAGACAACCGCAAAAGATCATGACCCCAGAAACTCTCTCTCCTACCAGAGTTGTCTGCCTGTGCCAAAAATATAAATAAGGAAATGTGGATGTCTGTTTTCCTGAAAGAGCACCAATAGATTATGAGTCTGTGAGACTGAAATGGATAGATATTATGGCAAAACCATATGAAGTTTCTGTTTCTGCAGATTATAAACAGCCAACTGTCAATGATTTTATATGACTCACCTTAAAAGATTCTATCCTATTTTAATCCAGTGTGACTACCGAATTTAATTCTCTTAGTAAGTGGTAAAGGAGATGGGAGCAGTTACTAGAACGTAACCAGAAAGGTTTTCGTTCATGGTGTGCTTTAGTTACCACAGTAAATAAAGTATATCAAATTTTAATAAACTTTTCCTCACATATTCATCTAACATATTTCTTTCATATGTCTTGTGCTTATTTATTGATCTTAATACTATATAGACAGAGATAGTCATACATATTCAAAAGTCTTTGAGATACCCCCCACTCTAATAGAATATTTAACAGTATAATGGTAACACAGTACTTCAACTGTTGAACAACTTTCTACTTTACAGAATATCTCTTTCAAAATAGATTTTCACTGGTAAATGTAATATTCCATTATAAAATGATGGCATTTTCTTTTAGACTAAATTTGAGGAAGTCCCTGCTAAATTATTGAGAGGGCATTTTTCTGACTACCAAATAATGATTTATGTTTATACTCCAGCACTACTCGTATTCAATTTGACCTCTTAAATGAGGCAAAAGTGTGAGATATTCCGAAGGCCTGTGCCTGATTTATTCACTTGACACGTGGATTACTAGGATTGAATAGGGGGTTGAGGGCTTTGTAGGTGACCAACTTACCACCAACCTAGTGGTGATAGGTATGGATGTTTTAAGCATTTCTTCATTCTCACAATAACCAAATTCTGAAATAGTAGCATGTATAAAATTATGAAATATTTTTACAATGCTATATACACATGGTACATAACCAGAAAATAATGGTACAAGTGTGCTTGTTGGAAAATAATAAACCCACTTGAATAAATTCTGCACCCAATTGGGCAAACATCTATTAATTGCTTCCTCTGTGTAATGAAACAGGCCAACCACAGCACTCCGGGTGCTTCCCAGCCCTGCCATTGTAAGAGGCTGTGTACATGAACCAACCACTGGTAGGCGGCAGGACCAGACAAGAGCTATGAGCATAAAGTGAAAAAATGAGTAATTCTCACAAACACTGAGAAGTGTGAACAAACTTCTTTTATCCCAGGTAGGTACGATCTTGTTGGGTCCCTCATCTGTTGGCACTCCCATGCCTTGTCTCATGAGGGGGGCTGGCCAAGGGAGGGTTTGGCATTAGTTCTCCATTTGTACATATAAGCCCCATTCCTCCATAAATTGCAGGAGATAGGTTTCATGTTCTTCTGGCGGCTTGTCTGGAGCCTGCGCCTCGTAGAGCCTGGCTAACAGGCCCTCCTCTGCCAGCCGGTCATTCTCAGCGTGCTCTGAGTCCTGGTCGTAGCTAGACAGGGAAGATAGACACAGCCGGCCAGTCCGAGGGTCCCAATCAACCAGTGTCGCTGATGGCTCTTCCTCAGGCCCCTCTTCTGAGTCTGTGTGCTCCTGTGCCTGGGAGTGCAAGTCTCGGAGCTGCGGGGCGCGTGAGTACAGTGACATTGGTGGGTCCAATTGTGCCAGAGCTGCCCGATGCTCATATAAGCTTCCCCGGCCTGAAACCTGCTGCAGGCTGAGCGCTGGGTCTTCAGGCCCCGCACAACTGTCAGCGGATCTTACATCATATTCATACCCTAGGTCCCTTTTCTCCGTGGATGTGGTTCTGCTGGATGCCTCCTGCTGGGAGCGGGAAGCGCCTTTGGTGTTTTCCTCAGAGTCGCAGAGAATTTCCACCAAATGTGAGGCGTACCCTAAATGCTTCACCTCCTCTTCCCCCTGAGGGGGCTCAGGGTTCCGGCTGGGCTCGGGGTTATTAAGGTCCGATACATCACTGATGCTTTTCTCCAGCAAACCTGTATCCTTTTGAGAATTTTTAGAATCATCCAAAATACTGAGGCTGATAAAGTTAATCACGATTTTTTCAGCAGGCACAAAGAATCTTTTGTCAAATTCATTTCCATAAATCAAAATCTGCAAAGAGAAAAGAGAACAGTTTTTTACCTTTTCACTTCAGAGAAACATTCAAAACAACTGTTAGGTAGAATGTAGCATCTCCAGATAGTTACAAAGATCTGTCTACCCTGGCTCGGTGCCTATAGCTCAACCGGCTAAGGCGCCAGCCATCTACACCTAAGGTGACAGGTTCGAATCCCCAGCCCGGACCCGCCAAAACAACAATGACGGCTGCAACCAAAAAATAGCCGGGCGTTGTGGCGGGCGCCTGTGGTCCCAGCTACTTGGGAGGCGGAGGCAGGAGACTCGCTTGAGCCCAGGAGTTGGAGGTTGCTGTGAGCTGTAATGCCATGGCACTCTACCCAGTGGGACAGCTTGAGGCTCTGTCTCAAAAAAAAAAAAAAAGATCTGTCTACCCTTACCAACTCATAAACATGAAAGTTGTGCCTGGAATATATAGAAAAACCTCTCTCACTAGGAGGCCAGGCAGCCAAGACCTACACGAGGCCCACGGCAGTGAAAAGTAGCTCCCTGGGTGGGTGTTTCTCAGACGGAGGGTGGGTGTGCCTGCCCCCTCCTCTGGGCAAGTGGCTTAATTCCTTGAGACTTTTTAATTCTGTGAAGTCAGAGTCCTGGTCACAGGAAGAGCAGCAAAGAGGAGAGTGAGGTAATGGAATTCTTTTGTTGTTTACAGGACCCTTATCAATGAGCTGTGCTTGCCTGGGCTCTCAGCCCCTTTTGGGATATACTGTGGACGTGAAATGTGGATGGGCTTGAAAATGGCATAGAAAGGGAGAGAAACACACGAGTAGGGATTGTTTTACCCCCTACATCATTCCAATCGTGCTATAATAAGGCCAAAAAAGGAAATTCATCTGCTGGTTAATGGCTGATATCAAGTCAGGGAAGCCCCATGGAGACTGAAATATTGCTGGGAATGTGGAAGGTGCCTGTCATCTACGAGAGGGTCAGTTATGGGTTATGTTACAATCTTCATTGTCACTCTACCATGTAATTTCACTTAACATTACAAAATAAGACCCTCAGCCTCTCTCTTTTATAAAATTTCTGGTTTCAAAAAAAATCACAGCGAGTCAATTCTACTGTGAATTTCCCTCCCAGGAAAGGTCTCTTGATGCCACTAAGAAGCCAACTCTGAAACAGAGGCAGAATCAGGCAGAAATACCAGCAGAAAAATTTACAAATGGATGGACAGGAGCTGGTGTATGTTATTGTGTGCACACGGACATATTAACAGTTCCCGAGGAAACAGCTTTTATTGTTTAAATAAATATGCTCAGCCCTTGGGAACTGTTCAGCAGATGATTCCATAATATCAGGTTTATTTCTTCTATGTTCTTGCTCCTTGCCATGAATGATTAGGTCCTGGCTGTGCTCCTCACCTTCTCTCCCTGGATAACTGCCACAGTCCTCTAGCTGCTATTCTTGTTTCTCGACTTACTTCCCCCAAAGTTGTCCTGGAGTTTATGTCGAGTTAGACCTAAAACTTAATATTGACTGTGATGCGCCCAACTTTTTTTTTTTTTTTTTTGAGACAGAGCCTCAAGCTATCCCCCTGGGTAGAGTGCTGTGGCATCATAGCTCACAACAACCTCCAACTCCTGGACTCAAGCGAGTCTCCTGCCTCAGCCTCCCAAGTAGCTGGGACCACAGGTGCCTGCCACAACGCCCAGCTATTTTTTGGTTGTAGCCATCATTGTTATTTTGGTGAGCCCTGGCTGGCTTCAAACCTGCCACCTTAGGTGTATGTGGCTGGCACCTTAGCCCCTTGAGCCATAGGCACTGAGCCGATGTGCCCAACTTAAAGCCCTTTGTAAATTTCTCTTTGCCAGCAGAATAACCCCCTGGCCTCTTAGGATGGCTCCTAGCTCTTCCACTCTGGACCCTCCACCACCTGCTCCCTCACCAGGGGCCTCAGGGTGAAGCAGGGCCATGCAGTTCCACCCACCTCTGCCCCTAATGTTTCTTCTGACTGCACCAAGTGTCCTAACTCCTGCTCACCTCTTATTACCAAGCCCTGGCATGAGAACTGATACCCCATGAAGGGGGTTGGGAGCTTTGTGTACCCTTAGAATCCCCAGTGCCTGCTCTCATCTTAGCCTTCATGTATTATTAGAAATTCTAGTTCCCAACTACACATGAATTTCTAGAAGGATCATTAAATAAAATCTTTCAAAGCTTTGGAGTCTTTATCTTTGGTTATGTTAGTGAGCCAGTCCAGAAAGTGTTTTATAATTCACCATTTAAATCAATTGGAACTATATCCATCCTAGAGCTTTCTCTTCCATCCTCCCCCAGGTGTGTTATAATATAAATGATATGATATATGATATGATATGATATAACATAAAGGCTCCTGCTACCAAGCACTCACCAAATTTGCTGGGTGTCTCTCTTTGCCAACGTGAATATATCGGTAGATGGAATAGCCCATCACAGAAAAAAGAAACACCATAATGGATATGGGCAAAACATACCAGAAGATGATTTTAACCTTGAACTCTGAAGATGGATCTGGAAGAAAAAAAACAGATTAGGGGTTGGATAGTTGTGATTTGGTGTGGTGTGGAGAAAACTGGCTTTGGGCAGATCACTCACATTTAAGAACTCAGTTTTCTCACTTCTATGTTGACAAGCTTAAGCTAAATGTTATGGGAGGGGTCTCAGAATTCTTACTTTTCTCTGCCAATAAATGGTCTTAAGGAATCCTCTGGATGCACATCAAACCTTTACAGTAAGGATGCATCAGCACTCCAAGTCAGCAGATGTAACCAGTTTACACCTGTTCTGAACGTCATGCTGCTCTGGCCATTGGGTGCCTGATACTCAGGGCACTCACAGCACTTCTAACCAAACACCAAAACCCTCTTGTGAAGATCCCCTTGAAGCACCCCACTTTTCCACACCACTCATTTGACTCAGTCTTCCCCATCTATTCAATGGGGGACACAAATGTGTGGTGTCACATTTTACATGAATTACCAAACCATTCTTGCACTGGTTTGACAGACTTTCTGGGTAGGGCTGGAGCTTGGGGTATGTGGGTAGGGAGGTGGCTGGATCGGTGTGCTAAGAATGGCTGTTACCACCATTCTCAGTCTTGCTTATGATGTAGGCTCATGATGGGCAAAAGTCCACAGAGCAATGGAAAGACCTGGGGATAGTTTTGAAAATGTAGCTCTGGCTCACCATGGATTAGACTATATAGCTGATGACCAGAGCTCCTTGTGACTAACTTATGTTTGTTAAGCTACTATGTATGATGTACTTGGAAGTTGTGATGTATAACTTTATGTGTCAACTTGGCTAGGCCACGGTGCCCAGATATTTGGCCAATCATTATTCTAGATGTTTCTGTGAAGATATGTTTTAAAATGAGATTAACATTCAAATCAATAGATTTTGAGTAATGTGGACACATGTGGGAGTACTTAAGGCAAGAGTCATATCTCGGTGTGCTTGCATTGCTAGCAATAATGATTTAATAAGCTTAAAACCAATATTCAAGTATTATTTATAAGTTAGAAATTGAATTAAGAAAATGATTACAGAGGATGGGCAAGGGAAAACAGAAACAGGAGAGAAGTGGAGTTGAGAAACCCTAAACTCAGTGTACAATGCGCTGCCAGAGGCCTGGTGCCTTTAAAACTCAGGAAGAGTCTTGTTGAAACTTCACCCCTCCCCCAGCCCGCAGGTCTCTAAACAGGTGAGGCTGGCCTGCCGGCAGGGCTACTCACTCTGGGAGAATGAGTGCTTTTGTGGAGTTAGTTATGCAGAATGTTTAAACTTTGCTAAAGACGGCAAGATTTGCTCCAGACCAGGTGAGGATATAAAATATCTCTTTTCTTCTGTCACCTTGGAATGACCAGAAGTGTCTGTCTGTCTGAGCAAAAAGCTTCCTGAGTATTGTCACTCCTGTGCTCTGAATGTGGCCTCCTTGGGGTCTTCTCTGACATCCTGCTCTTGGATTGCTTTCATGGTTCCATGTTTTGCTTGTGTTAAAGATCATAAATACCTTAGAGCAATAACAGTAAAAAGTAAATCCATCCAATTAATGTAGTTAGTTAAAGAAATAGTATAGTTAGAAAAATGCAAGTGCCATTGCTTGCCTTTCCCTCGTGAGATTTATGATTAAAACAATGATGTAGGAAATGAAAATGGAGCTAGCCTGGGAGAGGACCCTGCATGCTGTGTTGATCCTTGTGAAGAAGGCAGGCGGTCTCCTGGCCCAGCTGTCTCTTAAACTTTCTCTTGCTTCTTGTCTCTTTAATTTTCCTTTGTCCTCTCATTTCTGCCAAGCCACTAGGAGGGAACCCATAGCTTAGTTGGGGCTGGCCCCCAACACAGTAAAGTAGATTGCCATCTATAATGTGTGTGGGCTTCATCCTATCAATTGCCAACTTTAGTAAAGAAAAAAAGACTGATGACCCTGAGGAAAAGGGCATTTTACCAGTAGACCGCGTTTGGACACAGAATGCAACATTGGCTCTTCCCTAGGTTGGCAACCTGCCCACCCTATACATTTTGGACTTGCCAGCCTCCACAATCCTGTGAGGTGACTCCTTACAATAAACAAATTCTCTTCCTCCCTGCCTCTGGCTGCCGGTAGGACCCGTTTCTTGCTGCCATTGCTGGGACCCTGTGTCGTGGCCCAAACCGAGCACAATGCCCCCCGAAAAGGGAAGTGGTAGGATTAAACCACCCCCAATCATTGGATATTTGGAACTTCGCTGAAAATTGGTATTGTTGGATTGGTAAATGTTGGGAAATCTACCTTCTTCCTTGTACTAACCAATAGTCAGGCTTCAGCAGAAAACTTCCCATTCTGCACTATTGATCCTAATGAGAGCAGGGGACCTGTGCCACAGGACAGGCTTGACTTTCCTTGCCAGTGCCACAAACCAGCAAGTAAAATTCCTGCCTTTCTAAATGTAGTGGATATTGCTGGTCTTGTGAAAGGAGCTCGCAGTGGGCAGGGCCTGGGAAACGCTTTTTTATCTCATGTTAGTGCCTGTGATGTGATCTTTCACCTGACAAGGCCTTTCAAAGATGATGAGATCACACGTGTTGAAGGAAGTGTAGATCCTATTTGAGATATAGAAATAATACTTGAAGAGCTTCCGCTTAAAAACGAGGAAATGATTTGGCCCATTACAGATAAACTAGAAAAGGAGACTATGAGAGGAGGAGAAAAACAACTAAAAGCTGAGTATGATATAATGTGCAAAGTCAAATCCTGGGTTATGGATCAGAAGAAACCTATTTGCTTCTATCGTGACTGGAATGACAAAAGAGATTGAAGTATTGAATAAACACTTGTTTTTGACTTCAAAACCAATGGCCTACTTTTGGTTAATCTTTCTGCAAAAAGACTACATTAGAAAGAAAAACAAATCGTTGATAAAAATTAAGGAGTGGGTGGACAAGTCTGACCCAGGTGCCTTAGTCATTCCTTTTAGGGAGGCCTTGGAATTCAAGTTGCAAGAATTGAGTGCTGAGGAGAGACAGTAGCGAACACGACACAGAGTGCTTTGCCAAGGGTCATTAAGGCTGGCTTTACAGCACTCCAAATAGAATATTTTTTCACTGCAGGCCCAGATGAAGTATGTGCATGGACCATGGGGAAAGGGACGAAGGCTCCTCAGGCTGCAGGAAAGATTCACACAGACTTTGAAAAGGGATTCATTGTGGCTGAAGTAATAAAGTATGAAGATTTAAAAGAGGAAGTTTCTTTCTTTTTTCTTTTTGCAGTATTTTTGGCCAGGGCTGTGTTTGAACCTGCTACCTCCAGAATATGGGGCCGGTGCCCTACTCCTTTGAGCCACAGGCACCACCATCTTTTTTTTTTTTTTTGAGACAGAGTCTCACTTCGTTGCCCTTGGTAGAATGCTGCGATGTCACACCTCATAGAAACCTCAGACTCTTGGGCGTAAGTGATTCTCTTGCTTCAGCCTCCCAAGTAGTTGGGACTATAGGCACCTGCTGCAATGCCCACCTATTTTTAGAGATAGGGTCTCACTTTTGCTCAGGCTGGTCTTGAACCCATGAGCTCAGGCAATCCACCTGCCTCGGCCTCCCAGAATGCTAGGATTACAGGCTTGAGCCACTGTGTCTGGCCCAAGAGGAAGGTTCTGAAAATGCAGTCAAGGGTGTTGGAAAGCACAGACGACAGGCAGAAATTACAGTGTTGAAGATGGAGATATTGTCTTCTTCCAATTTAATACACCTCAACAACCAAAGAAGAAATAAATTTTAGTTATTACTTATGAAAATGTAGAACTCCCAAAAGGCATATAATTTTTTAAAATTAGAATTTCTGAAAACTGAAGGGAAAAATGAAGTTGGGGAAATGAGAATCTTCTACAAACAAATTATTTTTGTTTTAAAATTAAAATATCGTGTATCTCCAGTGAAATGCAAATTCACTAAATGTGAACCACCTTGCTTTTCGTGTGATGAAGACTCTACTCCAAATTGTAGAAGTTTTCAGGAACCCTATTACTCTCATGACACTTCATTAATCTCTATCAAGTATGTCAAGCCTGACACATTTGACAGTGAGGACAATGTGGCTTGCTCCTTTTTGAATCTACAGATAAAGCATGTTTTACAACACTCCAGATGTTTACCCTCAATAAAACATTTGACCAAAAACAAACAAACAAACAAACAAACAAAAAACCCCCGAATTCTCTCTGTATCTCTCTCAAACAACACATAGAACTAATAGGCAACTTATATACCTATCCGTAGATACATATAGGTTCTGTTTAATCCAAAAAGAAGAATCCTGACAAATACAGAAGTAGAAAAAGGACCAGCTTTAACACACAAGTCTTAGCCGGTTCCTTACACTAATAAAAGCAGCAAGAGTGTGATGGAACATTCTAATCCATGTGGCTTTTGGATGCTTTTGATGCCTGGGCCTGAGAGAAAGCAGCGGAGTCCCTCCCGGTTAACTACTGTCCATTAAAGACTGAAAACAGCTGTGTCTGGAGGGAGGGCCGTCAACAATAGCTGGTGCAACTGTAGAAGTTTTTCAGGAACCCTATTACTCTCATGACACTTCATTAATCTCTATCGAGTATGTCTGACACAGTTGACATTGAGGACAATGTGGCTTCCTCCTTTAAACAAGTGCGAAGCTCACAACTCAACATCCCTAACAGCAGTATCTTTAACCACCACTTCCCAGCACCTCAGCGCAGAAGAGGATGAGGAGACAAATGACGGAGAGAGAAGCAACTGTGAGGGCAAGGGTGTAACCCCAGATCCGCTGATCCCAGGCTGCCGTGCCAGGTCAGTAGGGGGGTCTGAATGCAACTGGAAAAAGCCTGTAATGAATATTCCCAAGGAGCAGCAAAAATAGCTCCATTTTACAGTGTTTTTTATAATACTTTGCTTCTAACGATACAACTGTCTGATGGTCTTGAAGACCACACAGAACTTCTATTGAACAGAGTGATTGCAATTCCAAAGAAGAAAAAAGATGTGAGTCAAAGTTCTTGTTATTTCACAAGGCAGGTGGCTGTGTGGCCGTGGGAGGATTGTTGGCCGTGGACTCTAGGACCCGTACTGGCAGATCTCCAAGGGGGTGAGAACACTCCCCAACAGCCTCCCGGCTCAGTGGCAGAGTCCCAGCCTGCTCACTCATTTCTGGTCTTTTTTGTCTTTGCCTCAACTTGTTTCTATTAGACGTGTATTTGTGAAAACCTTGTCTAAACTGCTCTCCTCCCTTCTAGTTTCAGTAGATTTCCTTCTTCAGACTGGCTGAGTTTTCTAGAAAAGCTTACCTTTCAAGGTCCTGACACACTGCTTCTCCGAAGGCCGGGTGGGGCGGGGGAGCCCTGGGACGAAGGCCTCCACGTGGACGCAGTACTGGGTGTCCGGCTCCAGCCAGGTGAGCACCAGCGTGTGGTTGGTCACACATTGGGACCACTGGGACAGGGAGTTGTGAACAGTGGTTAGAGCCACAGATTTCTGGGACCACCCCAGACAAATAACTCTAGACCAAAACGAAAGACTGAGATACCTTTTAATCCTTCACTGTCATTATAAACTTTTTTTTTTTCAGCAACAGTTTCAATATTCCCTTTTCCTTTAGCTCAGCAGAACATGGTCAAGAGCTCGACAATTCTCAGCAAAAACACCTGATAGGGTTTTTATTCAACCTGGTCCTGTGTTCTTGGTAACATTGTTTTTTAATTCTTGGAGAGTGATGGATGTTATACGAGTGAAAATTCTCCGTCAGAGTCAAGTGTGTGGGGAGGAAATCTTCAGGATTCTGACAAATGTATAGCTATTTGGGAGACAGGTAGTGAAAGAAAGTTGGCCAGACACCAAATGGCATGGTCACAGCAACCCCCTTCGCATACTCCTGGAAATCCTCACACCCCCACAAGAGTTCAGCTGTCCTGGGAGGACAGCTAGTGATAGAAAGCAGGTCAGAGACCAAATGGCATGGTCACAGCAGCCTGATGAAGTGATTTAAAGCCCCTGTTCCTGGGAAGCATCAAGACCTCCTACCGGGTCCTGTGGAAGGCAGTGATTCTAAAATCAGTCTTGGACACAGCATCATTCACTCTGTAGGGAAGAGGACTCCCCTCACTTCCTATGACCCCTCCCACATTCCCACTACACTAATAAAAGTCCCTTGAAACGGTGTGAGGGGGGCTGACTTCTGTTGAGACTCCATCCTACTCCTTTAAAATAAAGCCTGTCCTTCATCCCTGGACTCGCCTCCTGGTTTCCTTGCAGACCCTGTCTGTACTCTATCCCTAAACTTTTCAAAGTGTGCAATGGCTCTCCATTCCAGTAACGACATCACACTCTGTTAACAGAGAGTTTCTATAAAGAAAATCTAAAGTCAGGTCTGTAAATTTTCATGGCATCTCTTTTGAATATCATGTCTTCCCTGATTCACATGCAGAGACTCAAAGCATCAGGGCTGTTTGTTCTAGCATTGGCTACAAAAGTACATAGACTGGCTATTCCATTCCGTTTCAGGCTTACCATTCTATTTGATCTAGTATTGCGAATGGACACGTTATACTTCAGATTGGAGTATATTTGTTGCATAGAAACAGAACTGTCTTCTGGATTTCTTTTCCACTTCTCTGGAGGTGTCAGGAAAATGGACATGGACTTCTCATCAGTGGTCAGAGCAACCTCTGGAGGGCCGATTTGCGCTTAAAGGGGAGGGGAGAGGGTATTGTCACGTTCAGATGTAGAAATCACCTCAGATGAAGCCATAGTGTAATCCTACTCAGTTCAAAGCCCTAAAACCTACCCTCTTACAGGAGATGCCTCAGAATGTCCTATAGTGGGCCTGAGTTACGCCAGATCTTGAAATAATCATTTCACATGTCCCAACAACAATGCTAAAACAGTCAGCCCGGGTGTTGTATTTACTTAGTCACATGGATAAACAGGACTGGATGACGGTAAATACCATCAGAACTGTTGGTGACTTGAAAAGTTGGTGATATAAAAACATAAACATGATTTGATAAGTGGAAAAATCAGAGGTGTGATTAGAATGATCTAAAACTGAGGTCAGCAATCTTTTATGATGGATATTCAGGCAGTACATATTTTTGGCTTTGCAGGCCAAGTGATCTCTCTTGTGACTACTCTACTCTGGTTGTAGCACAGCAGTCATGGATACCTATGGAAATGCACGAGTGTGGCTTGTTTTCCAATAAAATTTATTTATCAGTAGACATCAAAATTGCAATTTCCTGTACTTTTCACTTCTTCTGATTAAAAAAAAAAGGCCAGGCATTGTGGCAGGCACCTGTAGTTCCAGCTACTCCGGAGGCTGAGGCAAGAGTATCGCCTAAGCCCAGGAGTTAGGCTGCTGTGAGCTATGTGATGTTGTGGCACTCTACCGAGGGCAAGAAAGTGAGACTCTGTCTCTAAAAAAGAAAAAAAAAAACCCAACTATTAAAAAAATAAATGCTATTCTTAGCTCTTTCCCTGTAGAAAAACAGAGATAGGGTAGGGAGGTTAAATTTGGTCCAAGGGCTATAGTTCTCTAACCCCTGACCTGGAAGAGCTCCAGAGCCTAGGAAGCACTTGTAGAGTTCATTGTGGTAGCCCTGAGTGGGTCCTTCCTGGCCCAGGTAGTTACAGAACAAAAGATGTCAAAATTATAAAAGCAAACCCCAGGAAGAATCATCTTAATTCTGATTACAACTGGAAATTATATCATCGCACTACCAAGTTTATCAAGAAAGGACTTAGTTGGATGATCAGAACCATCTTGAAACAATCTTACGGGCACATGTCAATGATTTTTAAACCCACAACATTAAAGAAATCTTTTAGTTGTTCCTGAAATTACAGAGCCTCCAATAAATAGTAAAACAAAACCAAAATTTGCTGTTATTAGCTTCTAGCGTCAATTTTGGATCCGGAGAGATCTTAGAGATCATCTACCCAAACATTTCGCTCTAAAGATGACACTCTGGGAAGCAGTAAGGTGACGCATCTTAGCCTGGTCACTCAACCTGCTGGTACAGAACAGACCCAAGCCGAGCATCTTTCTCTGGGACACCCTGTTTATGAGCCACACCAATAAACCAGGAGGTCAGGTTAGTTTGACAGTAATACATGTTTAACCATTGTGGCAATCGCATTACTTACTTTCTACAAAAGGATAGAATCGACCAGTTTCAGCCCATTTGGAGCAATTTGTTTCCCAAATGGCTTTAACTTTGGCATAATATTGGTGCTCATAGTCAGAAGTTTCAACAGAAAGATCACAGTAGGTCCTATTGATATTTCTGCATTCGGATTTATTCAGCCATCTCTTTTGCCCATATCTGCTAAGAAAGAAACTCTGAATTAATAATGAGGTACCCTTTACTATTAAAATAAACCCCAGTCATTATATAAAACTGAATGGAACTGAAGACCTTCCCTTTAGAAAAACAAAAGTGCCTGTCATTGAGATAAAAAAGAATCCATTTTGCTGCTGGCATTTTTTTTTTTCATTAGCTGTCAGGAACATGAGTCAGAGTTTCTGTAATCACCTTTCTTTTCTGTAAGTTATAATGGGGATGGTGCATTCTGAAAGCATGTATTTTATCTTTATTCTTTGGCTACAGTAACATTTTTACATATTGTCTGATCTATTCTGCTAGGAATTATCTACGGAAGTTTTTCGTCCACCCTGTATGTACGAAGTCCGCTTGATGGGTTGTTTTATGAACAATTAGTCATTTCTTTTTCTTAGAAGAGAAATTATGTTGTCACTTTCATAGAATTAAAACATCTGCTAGGCATCAAGAGTTCTGAGGAACATTCAAGGGGTTGGCGTGCATATAAAACCCGCATTTCCAATAGTTACAGTGAGGATGCTGATGATAATAATGGTACCGATTAGTTCCTCACTGAGCTGATGATATTGAATGATAAAAAAATGATATTGATTAGGTCGATAACACCTATTTTCTTTTTCTTTATTAAAAACACAGCATTCAGAGCAAATAGAAAGAAAGAAATATTTTTAGCCCTTGTCGGGTGGGAGGGACTCAGATGTAGACTTTGGGTGACAGGGGATGAGCCGGTGAAACAGACAGAGCTGCGTGGGAGGCTGCTGAAGGGATTAAGGCAGGGTGCTGAGGGGCAAGCCCAGAGGCATGTCTGGAGGGAGTGGGGAGAAGGTGACAGGGTTAGAGTGGCAGCGTGGGGAGCAGTTGAGAGGACACTGGGGAAGATGCAGGTGGCTTGGACAAGGATGGTGAGAGTAGAAAGAATGAGGACAGATCCATTAGGTGATCGGACCTGGTGATTGAGTGCATGCAGGAGATTAGGGACAGGAAGGAGGTAAGGAAGACGTCGTTTCCTGTCTGGGGCAGATGGGTGGAACAGTGGTGACATTTTCCAAGACAAGGAACACTGAGGAAGAGTGGATTTGGGGGTTGGGGTGGGGAAGGAAGATAATGTGCTGAGTTCTGATGAAGCAGGAGCTACTCAAATGCAGATGCCCAGCGGGCCCAGGGGCTCGGGGAAATGGCACAAAATGTCCACTGAAGGCACAGGCATGAATGGATTCTCCATGGAGACCAAGCCACATTTAGGGTAAGAATTCAGGAGCATTATGATTTAAGGGTTGGATACAAAATAGATCTGGAAATAGCAGCTAAAGAGAAAAGGGAGAAAACACATATCACAGAAGTTAAGGGGAGAGTGTGTGACTCCGGCTGAGGAGGAGGATACATCAACTGTGTCAAGTATTGGCAAAGCTTCAGGATGCCAGCTCCTTCACAATATAGCCACGGATTTCTGACTGTCAGTGCATACCCGCTAAAAACATTAGGGATACAGTCAGAGCTTATGGACCAACTTCTCCATCCAAATGACCACCATTGCTTATGGATTTCCAGAATTTTTTTAACCATAGTCTATGGGGAAAAAGTACACTTTACATTGTGACTCAGTACACAAACACATATGTGTGTGTGTGTGTGTAACATACTACAACAAAAGTTTTACAACATAATATTTAAACCTTACTACATGTTTTTTTCCGTTCCACTTTACACCATCCCATTCCTTTCCATTGAAATCACGTTAGCTATGTACCTCAAAATTGATTTCATAACCTGTCAACAGGTCTTAACTTGTGGCTTGAAAAATATTGCCATTGCCTATGTGATCCTCCCTCCTCAAACTTCCTCACTCTGCCAAGGGCAGGGCAGCTTTCCATGACAGATAGTGATGAAAGAGAAAATACTGTTGACCAAATTCTGAACAAAATAAATGATGACCAGAATTAGTCAATAAATGTTTCAGTAATGATGTTTGTATATAACAAAAAGTCATGTGGGGTCCTCCTTATTATTGTAACAACCCTAGGAGGTAGTTGGCATTATTGTACCCCATTTTACAGATGAGGAAACTGAGGGGTTAAGGGATCCACTCAAGTTCACATGACTAATACAAGGAATCTCTGGGAGATGAAACACTTCTCCCTCATGTCAAAGCTTATGATTTTAGTGCTACTTCCTATTGCCTGCATTCAATTCTTTTGGTGGATATAATTTAAACTTTTGTTAAATTTTCATCTTGGAAACACACTGCACTCAAAAAGTGTAAAAGTTTAATAGTAACCTGCTCCGCCTGGCTGTGAACTGGGAACTGTCTGACCCCAGAGCTGAGCCTGCAGCCCCATGACAGTGAAATGCGCCACCCTTTATTCCTATTCCCTTTCATATGCATGGGCGTGTAAGAACTCTGTCACCTCAAGCTTCTTTTTAAATACACAGTTTCGAAATGTGCACAATTTAAATTATCTACTCTCACAGAGCAGCGACGATGACTGTCTATTTTTGCAAAACCCTTTTTGAATCACATACAAATGCAAAGGACAGAACAAGCTCTTTGCTCCACCGAATGGAAAAGGAGGCAAGGGCACGCTCCCAAGCCATTTCTCTTTGCAGAGTGATGCCTCATTTCCTGTCAACACCAGCTCCTGAGAAACTTTTGGAAGGGAGAATGTGGTTCTAGATAAATGAGGGTGCGGTGAGTAGCTGCTGACATCTCCCATTGGCTTTAGTGGACAGAATTTTTTTTTTCAAAGACTAACATGACTTTATTCTTCTTTGTAAATATGGTAAATATTTTTTAATTCAAACAATTCAGAAAAGTATAATCAAAAAAGAAATAAATCGCCCTAAAACCCACTACCCTGAGACATTTGGTTGTATGTGTGTGTGATTCTGAGCAATGTGTCACTCCTACACATAAACAGAAGAATGACCAGATAGTAGAAAAGACAAAAAGTAGATTGTATCATACGTATGGTTTTAATAAAAGTAGCAAATATAATTTGATCTGAACTTTAATAGAAAAAAAAAGAAGTGAAATTAAAGGAATTGGTGAAGTTCAAATGTTTCATTACCACAAAAGATACTTGTTCCTAAAAAAGCTTTTAAATTAAGAAAATGGTTTATGAAAAATAGCAATAATAGCAATATTATTTTAATTATTAAAATAATAAAATATTTTCATTTTGGATCACATTTTATGGGTTCCTGCTGTGAAGATCAGTACGCTGATAGTTCTTCCCAACTTCTGATTTGTTATATTACTGTTTAAATTTGAATATTTACCAGAATCTTTCCCATCACTATTTAATCTTAGTTCTACATTTAGATGAATTCAGGGCATGCCACCATTTTTTTTTCTATGCTTGTGTCCTTACTAAGTTCTTTTGAATTCATTTTTGGATCTATGTTAGCTGAATATCATCTTTAGCTAGTGGTTCCCCCACCCCTGAAGGTCTCTGGGAAATGATATTCTGAGTTCCCACCTGTGTGTAAATATCTGTCTAGTGAACCTAATAAGAGTCTAAGGTCTCACTTGTTTTTTTCTTAGAAGATGTATTTTGCCAGGCAGAAATTCCCCTTTTCCCAACTTGAGTTCTCCTTTTGCTATAATGGCCACAAATCGTTTGATTTTCTTAAACTTTAGTTACTTCTTTGGGATATGTGTTTGTTTTTATTAGATTTTTTTTCTAGACATACCATGTATTTATAACATGTAATTCCAAAAAGTCTTTCTTATCTGTTCAACCACTATTATCCTTGAGCTATAACAGGTTTTCATTTTAATAGAATATTTTTATTTCCCAGCTTTTTCCTAAGCTCTACCCACTTGCTTAACAAAGAAAAATTCTCCCTGATGTCTTGGAATCTCTTCTTTCACTGTTTTCTCTTCTGTGAGTTTTATCTTTAGAGATTGTTTATGGGCTATCATAGAACTGTGGACAATGACTTGTCTGAAATCTCTTATTTCCATGGGAAACTTTTGAGAAACTTTTGACTTATGTTCTTTTTTCCTCTTTCCCCCTTCCAGTAACTAAGGATCGGAGCTAAACCAGGTTCTTTGCGATTGCTACTCTCTGAATGGGGCTGGCCGGCTGCTGAACAGGCAAATGGGAGTAGAGGCAGGCCTGAAGTAATGAGCTTTCTCCCCACCACTCGGAATTTCTGTTACCCTTTCCCTGAATCTATTATTCCTTGGCTGGGCAGCTCGTGCACCCTCCGGTTTTGGGTTGCAGGATGCTGGTGTACTCAGGGCACGCTCCTCAGGCCATGACCCCTGGGCTCCCTCCCTTCCTTCTGCACCTGTCTCCTGCCTGCTTCCCTGGGGGCTGTGACAGGGCACTCAATGGAAATGTCCCTTGTCCCTCATTTCTGTTTCAGCTCCCCCTTTTCTGACATTCTGTGGCATCCAACTAGGGCCCCATGGGGACATTTCCTCAATTCTGATCGTGGCAATTCCCTCAATATCTACACTTTAGGATTGTTAGATGGGCCTCTTTGTACCGTGACACTTACTCTTGTGACATTATTTCCTGTCACTGGTGTTGGGAAAGCATAGTTTTGCTGCCAGCTTCTGCAGCTGTTTTCCTTCAGATTCTACTAGATTGGGCTTCTATACTTCAGAGTCTGTGGTTTGGGGTTACGGCGCTTCCTTTGTTTCTCTGACGATGGGTGTTGTCTAACTGTTTTACATTCTTTCTTGCTTGTAATGAGTTTTGAAGGTAGCTGTGACCTTTACTAGCAACAGCTGATTGCCCAGGATTCTGTGCTGTTTCACTAAGTCTAAGAATGTCTTTAATTCTAAAACGCTTAGACGTTTCAGAGAAGATGGATTGCCTTGTTTGCTCAGCCACATAATAGTGTTTTGGCCAACTTCATTTCTCCAGGTACATAACTTCCCCTTGCCTGAGCACCCAAGACTTCTCTCACCACCAAGAAACTGTCTTATAATTTAATCTAACAAAACCTATCAAGAAAATTTAATGAAATATCAAAAACGTTTCTCTTTTTCAAACACATATTTAAGAACATAGATGGTTTCTGTTTGCACAATTAACAGGAGTCTGAGTCTTGTGTTTGTAAATTAGCCAAAAGGAAAAGCACCAACTTACATGAAGTACTGCACAGTGTAAGTAACTTCAACTCCTTGTAGACCCTCTGGTGGATTCCACTGTAGGACATTCTTCATGTTTATGGATAAGAAGGTGATATTTGTAGGTTTAGGCAAACCACCAGAGACACAGGGAACTGAAAGAGGAGTAGAGAGGAATGGAAGTCTTAGTGGAGAGGGAAAACATGACCCTGCAGTAGCTAGTCTGCAGAGAGGGGCCCCCAGGAACCATGCTTCCCAGTACACAGGCCTGTGGGCCTCCCAAACTGAACCTGAGCTGACCCTGTGACTTTTTTCAGACAAGAGAATGTGACAGAAATGATTCTGGGACTAAGTTTTAAGGTGGCCTGGGAGCTTCCACTTTTGCCCTTTTGAGATCCCTAAGTGGTCACATAAAACAACAGCTATAATAGGAGCTATAACAATAGCTATAACCATGCTGGGGTTATAGCTGGAGAACATGTCAAGAGGTCAAATGAAGAAGGATAGCTCAGTTGTCCCAGTGTCTAAGCTGAACCCAACTTTCTAACTAAGAGGCCACAGTGAAGTCATTGTGATCATTTCAGTCCCATCTGCCATAGATTGTAGTTACATGAGAGACCCTGAGCATGACCAGCAGAAGAATTATCCAGCAGAGCACCAGTTACTTTCCAAAATCATAAGAAATAATAAAATGTTTTAATCCACTAAGTTTTGGGGTAGTTTTTGAATTACCAGCAGAGAACTGAAATGATTTATTTATTAGGTATAGAAATAAAATTTAGAATAGATGCCCCTGACAGGCCAGAGTTTAAGAGGTTGGTTTGGGGTTGGCTTTACCAAAGTCTGTAATAAAGTAATAATGAGAAAAGAAATCAGTGAAAAAAAGGCAATGTATTTAACAAAACAGCAATACGTTTACATTAAAAAGAATTGAAAAGCTACCAAAAAAATTATAAAAGGAAAGTGGAGGAAACTTTCTTATAAAAGAAAAATAGATTATCTTCAAATTAAAATGAATGAAGAAAAATTCAGTGATAACATATGAAAATCAAAATATTAATTGAAAATATTGGAATGATCACAAAATACTGAGTGATTAATAATTGGATTTCATGGAGAACTTATTTTCTCACAAATATGCCTATTATAGTCAATGAACTTGGAAAATATGGAATTTTAATATTGCAAATCTAACTTAGGAAATAAAATTTAGCTTAGTCACTGAAGACTGTTTCAATCTTAGCCTAAGTCTCATAATTCTTGTGTAAATTAGCTGAGACTAATGTCAGAGAAAGGAATTGTGCTTGAAATAATCCTTGCCTAAGATTAACTCTCTCCAATGTATTATATTTTCACAAGCTAAATGAAAAGAAAAAAAATTATTTACTTGAGAATTAAACTTTGTAACATGACCCCAAGTCTAAGCAAAATAAGCTCTTTTATTTATTTATTTTTTTGAGACAGAGTCTCATTTTGTAGCCTTCAGTAAAACAGCATCTCAAACTCTTGGACATAAGATCCTCATGCCTCAGCCTTCCAAAAAGCGAGGACTACAGGTACCTGCCACAATGCCCAGTTAAACAACAATGACAACTGTAACAAAAAATAGCTGGGCGTTGTGGCAGGTGCCTATAGTCCCAGCTACTTGGGAGGCTAAGGCAAGAGAATCGCTTAAACCCAAGAGTTTGAGGTTGCTATGAGCTGTGACACACTGAGACTCTGTCTCAGAAAAAGAAAGAAAGAAAGAAATGGGTTGCTCATTTTATTTTAGTTTTTTTTTTTTTTGAACGGAGAGTTCTGTCACAAGGAAACAAAGCAATTTTGCTCTTCTGAAATGAACTCTATTCTAGAACATAATGCTTTGGAATTGTTTAAATAGTCCTTCACAAAAGCTAAGACAATTATCAAAATGTTACCAAACTTCGGCAATTATAGATTAAATAAAGAGAATGAATAATGTGACAACAACAACATTAAGATGTTAAACAATTTTCTCACACCACTCTTCTTTTGAAAAGAAAATGTATTTTATGATGAATGCTGTGAGCCACGTATACACCTCCTCTAGAAGCTTACATTATGGGTACGCTATTCTATCACATAGTTGTGACAGCTGGCCCCCAACATGGTCTCTGATAATCCCGTCCTCTTTGCATTTGCAGCCTGTATAATTTTCTCCCACATTGTACCAGGGTTGGTGTGTGAGACCAAAGGCTATGACAAAAGCCGTGGTATTAACACTTCTGAGATTAGGTTATACAAGGCACTGTGGCTTCTGTCTTGTTTTCTCTCTCTTGGATCATTTGCTTTGGGCAAAATCAGCTGCTCTTTTATAAGCACCCTCTAAGGAGAGGCCCATGTGGCAAGGAATGGAAGCTTCCAACAGTTGGTGAAGAACTGAGTGAAGCCTCCTGCCAAGAGGCACTTGGTGATCTTAGAAGTGGCTCCTTTGGCTTGGCACCCATAGCACAGTGGTGACGGTGCCAGCCACGTACACTAGGCTGGTGGGTTTGAACCTGGCCTGGGCCATCTAACAACAATGACAACTGCAACAAAAAATAGCCCAGCATTGTGGTGGGTGCCTGTAATCCCAACTACTTGGGAGGCTGAGGCAAGAGAATCACTTTCACCCAAGAGTTTGAGATTGCTGTGAGCTGTGATGCCATGGCACTCTACTGAGGGCAACATAATGAGACTCTGTCTCAAAAAAAAAAGTTGGCTCCTCTGACCCCAGTCAAGCAGATGAAGGCAGCCCCAGCCAATCCTCTGACTACACTCTTGTGAAAGGCCCTGAGCTGGAACCATTTGTCTAAGCCATTACTGGACTCCTGACCTTCAGAAGTATGTGAAATAGTTTTTGTTGTTTATTTTAGAAGCTTCAATATTTAAAGCTTCTAAATTTGAGGTAATTTGTTACATAGCAGTAGAAAACTAACACAACAAAAACAATCTAAAAATTGAAGAAACCCGGAGGGACCAATCACTAAAAAAAAAATCCCAACACCCCCCTCCAAACCAAAAAAAAACCCAAATTAAACTGGAGGAATAAAAAATTGTACCCCATTCCCAATAATATTATAAACAACTTTTGTTTTAATCAACTTGAGAAATGTTCTGTTAAGCAGTTCAATTTTAACTTTATAAAAACTCAGTGAGAAGACCAGGAACTTAGCATCCTTTTAATAGAAAGTGAGGATCATGGCAACAACTTTTTGGATTAAGAAAAAAAAAGTTTGGTTAAGCGCATTCTAAACGCATTGACAAGGTTCAGAGTAGTAAACACCTTTAACAGAAATCTATTTGAAAATGATGTTTGCTGTCTTGTACACTCTGTCTGGGAAAAGAACATTGCGGCTTGAAGTCCTGCAGCTTCTTCATTTGGGTTGACATTATCTTTCTGATTGCACAGGCAGAAAAGATATCAGTTTTGGATCATCCCCTTGTCAATAAATCAAAGAATTATCCAGAGGCAGCACTATCATGAGAAAAGTAGGTCACATCTTGACATCAACCCATCTCTAAATCTCCCCAGGACACAAAATAATTCTTTGTTATAACATGGTCTGTTGGTTTCTAAAATATTTTTTTTATCAGTGCAAATTAAGCCATGTCAGTCATCCCTCTTGATATCAGGCACAGTATGTCTTGTCTTTCTGCTCATGGAAATTTTTATTTCCAGACATGGATATTTAGCAGTTGGTCTGGATCAGTGGTTTTATTTATCTGTATCAGTTACAATTTTTGTTTATTAATGATTTGGTTTTGATCAATAGAAATAGACAGCTCTTATTACAGTGAGGTTTGACCTTTCTGCAAAGGAGAGTTAAAAGGATTGTCTCACACAGACTGCGCGCTCCCCTCAGACAGGCTCTGGTTTCGGTAGACACGAGGGTTCTTTAGGTCCAGCTAAAAATAACATTGAAAGTGGGATCCATTCAGGACAGGCAAAGAGGTTCTGTTTCCACAGTAGATACAGTATGTACATAAAACTCAACTTGCAAGAGACTTAAAAACCAATAAATATCGTGAAAGCCTTTATATGTTATAGTATTTAGGTGATGTGAGGCAAACTGGCTAGCATATGATAAAAATAGGTGTTAATACTCACTGAATCCCTACCATGCAGCTCATTCAATTTTCACAACAGCCCTATGGTAGGTGTTATTGCTATCATCTCCATTGTACAGATTCAAAAGCCAAGGCACAGGGAAGTTAAGTAGGTAGTGTAAATTCACAGAGCTTGTAAGTCTTAACTGCTCATTCACTTGCCACCCTTGTATACTCAGTTGAATTTAAACAAAGACAAGACTGATGATGGGTAAACATGTATTATTCTAAGAGAGTAATATATAAAGTGATTTAAGTATTAAAAAATTACATACTGATCTGGTCAGTAATTTCTTTTTAATCCCACCACAAACCCTTTCCTTTTCCTGCCGGAATATTTCCCTTTATTTCCTCTCATGTCCTAGCAAAGCTAAATGGAAACTCAACTCCTTAACCCATTTCCCTGCGATGTGATGACTACAAAGGAGACTGTGTTTGCCTCTGCTCTGTTTTCTTTTTAGGGGCTGGTTTCTATTCATTCGAAACCATATTAAAACATGTGGACATGGAGAGAGGTACATTTGTCTCGGCCTTGGGTTTTAGTTCTTTATCTCTCATAAGAAACACACACACACAGTCAATCCCACCTGTATTGATGAGAAACATCAGTTCAAGTGTCACCTTATTTATTCATTCAACAAATGTTTATTGGGCAGTGTATTGGGTTGAATTATGTCCCTCCCCACCTGCAGAAAAAGATATACTCGTCATGAGCCCCTAGGGCCTCAGAATATGGCCTCATTTGGAAATAGGATTGTTGCAGGTGTACTTAGTTAAGATGAGGTCATACTGGAGTAGGGTAGGCGCCTAATCCAAGGTGACTGGTGTTCTCCCAAGGCAGCGGCAAGGATTAGAGCAATGCTTCCATAAGCCTGGGTCTACCAGAACCTCCAGGGAGCTCGGAAGGGAGTCTTCAGAGGGAGAGTGGCACTGCCAACATCTTGACTCTGACTTCCAGCTCTCCAAACTGTGGGAGAAGAAGTTGTGTTGCTCTAAGCTACCCAGTTTGTGGTACTTTGTGCCAGCAGCCCTAGGAACCAATACAGCT